TCGCAGAGCAGCACAGCTTTGCTGCTGCTGCTGCTGCTGCTGCTCAAGGGTTTACAACCCCTACATTTCGTGGTTACCCTAAACCCTAAACCCTAAACCCTAAACCCTAAACCCTAATTTTAGGATTCAAAGAAAAAAAAGATAAATAAATATTTTGTGAGCAGCAGCAGTTTTCTTGCTGCTGCATGCAGGACTCGAAGCCCCATACAGCCGCCAAACCCTAAACCCTAAACCCTAAACCCTAAACCCTAAACCCTAAACCCTAATTTTTAAACCCTAAACCCTAAACCCTAAAAACTAAAATAAATATGCATAGAAGCTTGCAGAAAGAAGCTAGACAAGACCACAACAAACCCTCCTACTCCCCCCAAACCCTAAACCCTAAACCCTAAACCCTAAACCCTAACTGTAAACCCTAAACCCTAAACCCTAAACTGTATTTTGCTGCTGAAATAAACAAAAGTTTATTGTAATACATATTGCTTGATGTAACTCGAATTTAATCTAGGGTTTAGGGTTTAGGGTTTAGGGTTTAGGGTTTAGGGTTTACAAACCCTCGGCTGCGTTTCGCCCCCCAACCCCTCCTCTTAAACCCTAAACCCTAACTGTAAACCCTAAACCCTAAACCCTAAACCCTAAACCCTAAACCCTCAAATGGTATTAATTAAAATATTTTTAATTCGTTTTTCTTTAGCAGCAGCAAATGCAGTTGCTGCTGCTGGTTTGGGTAGGAGAGACAAACGAACCCCGCATAGAGGAAGGTCTCTATACAGCTGCTCTGCTGCTGCTGCTGCTGCTGCTGCTGGTGCTGCTGGTGTTGCTGCTTGTGTTGCTGCTGATGATGGTACTGTTGTTCTTGCTGCTGCAGTTGATAGAGAAGCAGCAGAAGAACCTGCAGCAGCAGCAGGAGCAGCACTTGCTGCTGCTGCTGCTGCTGCTGCTGCTGCTGCTGCGACAGCAGCAGCAGACATACCTTCTGCTGCAGCAGCAGCAGCAGCAGCAGCAGGACAGAGATCAGCAGCAGATAG